TAAGGACACATAAAAGTTAGTTAGGGTTTTGATAGAGTGAAGGATGGCGGAACCGGCGAGTCCAGGCGGCAGCGGCGGAAGCCATGAGAGTGGCAGCGAGCGGAGCCCTCAGTCGTATTTTCAGGGAATGGGGGAAGAGAATGGCATGTATCAAAGTAGAGAGAGGAAGAAAATAGTGTAACTGAATAGCATATTTAGTGGCTTAGGGGTAGGAGGTAACCAAAATTAGATATTTTGCTATAAACATTAAAAGGTATCTATAGAATATATTTTTTTAGATGGTATTTATTTAAAATAAATAAGGTGTTAACCTTTGCTATAGGAGGTAAAAATACCAAATAGCTGCCCAGTTATCTCTTAAGCTAAAAATACCCCGCAAATATACGTATAATTCATATATAATATATGTATAACTGTGTATAAGCAATGTATAATCTATATATACTAGCCAAAAAAAGTAAATATTGAATCTAGCCGGCTGTTTGTGTAACAATCCCAAAAACGTATTTGCTATGTTCATTTCATGTTCTAGGATTGGGCCATGGAGTACCTAACCAGGAAACTTAAAACTCTACAGAGAAATCCAAATTTTAATTTTCACCCAACATGTGCAAAGATGCAGATTATACAATTGAGGTTTGATGATGATTTGCTCCTTTTCAGTAGAGGAGATATGGGATCAATACGACTGCTCATGGATTGTTTTAATGAATCCTCAAGGTGTTCTGGTCTGATAGCAAATAAAGATAAAAGTTTCATTTACTTTGGAGGTATCAGTAGAGAAATGTAGGAGGAGATACTAGCAGTATCTGGATTTGCCAAAGGGGAATTGCAATCAGATATCTTAGAGTCCCGTTAAGCTCTAAACGAATTTCAATAGTGCAATGCAAACCAATGCTAGAAAAAATGATAGGGAGGATTACTTTATGGACTACAAAATTCCTATCATATGCTGGACGACTTCAGTTGATAAAGAATGTACTCTTCTCGATCCAAGTCTTCTGGTCACAAATCTTTGTGCTACCAAAGAAAATTGTTAAGGTGATAGAAGCAACATGCAGAAATTTTCTATGGACAGGCACAACTGATATATCAAGAAGAGCAATACTAGAGTGGGAAAAAGTATGTTGGCCAAAGACAGTAGGTGGATTTAATGTACTGCATCTGGAGACCTGGAACAAGGCTGTTGTGATTAAACTACTGTAGAACTTATGCACAAAGAAAGATAAGATATGGGTAAGGTGGGTCCATATATACTATGGGAAAGGAAGAAATATTTGGGAAGTTCAAGTCAACCAAGCCTCCTGGGTTCTAAACAAGATACTAAAAGCTAAAACATATCTGTCAAAGGCAGGGTTTTGCATCACTGATCTACTGAAAATGAATTCATACTCCATAAAAGTGATGTACCATCAGTTGAGAGAAGACTATCCTAAAATCCCATGGAGGAAACTAACTTGTAACAACTATGTTGTACCTAGGTGGGGTTTTATACTAAACCTAGCACTACAATCAAGGCTACATACCAAAGACAAGGTAGCAGGCTGGGGATTGATGATTTATCAAACATGTGAGCTCTGTAAGGAAGAAAATGAAACCATGCAACATCTATTTTTTGAATGAAAGGTGACTAGAGAGGTTTGGGAAAGATTATTGAAATGGTAGGGGAATCAAAGATCAGTAATGACATGGAATAAAGAAGTGAAATGGGAAACAAAGGAAATAAAGGGGAAAACACCGAAGGCAGAAGTATATAGAATGACATTAGTAGGATGCATCTAGTACATATGGACATAGAGGAACTCAAGAATATTCGAGGCTCTGTCTCAGCATGTAGAGGGGATATTTAGATCATTAGTTTAGGACATCTTTCAGAGAGGCAACAGGAAAACTAAGATAATATGTAGATTGAGAGAGCTTAATAGTTATCCATAGGCGTAAGAGATATAGATATAGTGAGGAAGATAAGATGATCACTGCAGTTGGGCCTTCATGTCCAACTTACAGGCAATAGCTCAGTGGTTCTCCAGTTTTTCCAGTTCTGAACTTGTACATATTTTATACTTGGTAATAAAATTCTTTAATTACCAAAAAAAGGATTGGGCCAAGCCCAAACCTAATTTTTTGGGCCTGTCTTTGTCAAACCTAATAGGATTTTTTACCTCCTATAGCAAAGGTTAACACCTTATTTATTTTAAATAAATACCATTTAAAAAAATTATATTCTATAGATACCTTTTAAGGTTTATAGCAAAATATTTTGGTTACCTCCTAGCCCTAAGCCACTAAATACGCTAATCAGTTACACTGTTTTCTTTCTCTCTCTACTTTGATACATCCCATTCTCTTCCCCTATCCCATTAAAATTTTTGATCTCCTCCTCCTTCCACCGAATTTGTGCAAAGTATGAAAGATTTAAAAGGTAACCAAACACTTTATGGTGATATTATGTGCAAAGTATGAAAGATTCCAAACAGTTTGGGTCTATGTCTTCTATGAATTTGCCGCCGATAAAGGTTCATGTTGAGGAGAATCAAAAGGGTGGAAATTTTGAGGAGCAATTTTCACAGATGACTCTTGGGGTAGTGAAGCAGAAGCATGAGGAAGGAGGATTTGTGGATTTATCTTTGCCGCCTGCGACGGCTGTTTCCGGCGTGCAACAGCAACAGCTATAGCCGCCTCTGCAATTGCAACCAAAGCTTGTTATTCCATCTGATTTGCCTTCCCCTGATTCAGTTTCAAATCAACTTCATCATTCCAGAGCAATTCCACGTGACATCCACGCCACAACTTTATCTTTCGCGATGAAGAAGAACATTTCTTTTAATATATTTCAATGTAATTTCAACGTATTACGCTGTATTTTCATGTATTTCATTATATTCATTGTCTTTTTTTTCATTGTAATTCAATGTATCTCGCTGTATTTCATGTATTTTATTGTATTCTCTGTCTTTTTTTTCATTGTATTTCAATGTATACCGCTGTATTCTATGTATTTCATCGTGTTCACTGTCTCGCTATATGTCGTGAATGTATTCATAAGATTTTTTTAATTAATATAATTTATGTATTCAGATGTATTATATAATTTCTCTGAAGATTGCTATGTTTTTTGGGGTATTTTTCGGTTGAGAATCTTTTTATAACTGAAAATACAAAATATGTCTGTTATAATTGAGTTTGTTGAGTTATATTAGGAGTCTATTATGTTAATTGATTCACTTTCCGTTTTAAAAACAGTGTAATCCCCTATTTCACGCCGTGAATACAGTCGAATAAAATAATCTGTCCAGCTGTAATCCCATGTTTCACTCCATGAATACAGTCGAATACACTCGAATACAACAACTGATTACCTGGACTTCCCTGATTCACGCCTATTTTTACTACTGTATTCATGAATACAATAGCTTAAATACTTTAAATACAACTTATAACCACATAAAAGGTATCTATAATCCGTAATATAGCAAATGGTATCTATAGATGGCTAATTACTACTAAAAGATAGTGCTTTATGAAAATTTTCCAACCTAATATAAGACTAAAAAATTGTCAATATTTCTTATGTGTCATCACCTGGTGTCATTTTCCCGTTTCCTTTGCTCTTTCAAGGATTGGGCCAGGCCCAAATTCAATCTAAGGCACAAAGAAGCTAAGTAGTCAAAATAGCACGGTATAACCAGTTTTTGGACTGGTCATTCAAAAATAGCCAGCGTTTACTAAGTTAATGAAAAATGGCCACTATTTTGCTGCAACAGAGACCGGTCCAGCATAATATATTGGAGTTCGGTGCACCTGTGTATGAACTCCAGCATATTATGCTGCACCGGTATACTTTACTGGCTCCAGTATAATATACTGGAGACTGGAGCACCGGTGCTCCAAACTCCAGTATATTATATTGGACCGGTATACTTGCTGGAACTCCAGTATATTATGCTGGAATTCTAGTGTACTTATGCTGGAACTCCATCATATTATGCTGGAGTTCCAGTATACTTATCCTGGAACTCCAGTATAATATGCTGGAGTTCAAGTATACTTATGCTGGAACTCCAGCATAAGATACTGGCGTATTTTCCGGGGTTTTGAACATTGTTTTCGCTCAGATTTATCTTTACATGAAAAGTGGCTAAATTTCGATTACTTTTGAAACTGGGCTATTTTTGAACGACCAGTTGTAAATCCGGCTATTTTTAAATTTCACCCAGGATCGGGGCAATTGCGCAAATAGCCGCTTGGAGGACCATTATTTAAAGAATATCCGAAGCTTACGAAAATCGTAAAGTTCACTCAAAGTCAAATTCAGACAAGACCGGCATGCTTTGGTGCTATGCAAATAGCCGCTTGGACGACCAGAAATTTGATTTTGCTATTTACGAATACGAAGAAGAAGAAGAAGAAGCGAAGGAGGAACAATAGCGTAGGAGTGGAATTTGTCAATATTGGCAACTTCAAATATTTTTTAAAAATTAAATATAATTTAATAAAGGTTGTCAAGGCGAATACCTCATACAATTCCTATTATAGGATCACTCCGGAGGTAGTACGAATATTCAAAACAATATCTTAGGTGCTACTCAAATTGAACATATGAGTAAACTTTGGCCTAGTTTTTGCTAGTCCTAAACATTATGACATATAATGTCACCAAGTCCCTTGGATAGTATGTACAACTTTTATACTTGGACCTGTCTTGGGGGGGTCAATTTGTTCTATAAGGCCACTCTTCGGACTACAATATCATGAATATAAATTCCTCTGATTTTTAAAAAGAGACTTTTGAGTAATGATCTCTAATTAAATTTAGCTGAGTAATTTTTAAGAAGGGTTTCGCTGAATAGGAAATATTGTTGGAAGACACATTGTCCGATTTTTTCCAACGTGAGGCAGCTTTGGTTTTCAGCTCTTTGCAGTGGGTTGCTGCAATCATCAACAAGAACCTCAAGCTTGTTGCAATAAAAAAGGGAGTGTCATAATGTAGAGCAACAATAGGGAGCCAAGGAAATCAATTAAGCCATTGAGGTAATTCTGACAGAAGAAAAATCAAGAAACTAATGTACACTACAGAGTACAGAGGTTGGAGGGAACATAGAACAGCAAGGAATCCATTTTGCACCTAGTATCACTTGTTCAAACTTTCTGAAAGGACAATAGTAAATATCAACAACAATTGTGGGATTACACCGGGTATGTTGCTTGTTGTTGTGAACATATATGTTTAAGTTAGTAGAAAGCAATACTATAAAGGCAGAACAACATTTAGATTTCTTCCCATGCAACTAAAAAAAGAACCATGACCTGCTTGCAAACAATCTGCTTTACGTATTCATAATGCTTTACAGAGTCGGCTTGAATTTTCTGATAGGCGATGAAGTCGTGGAGTTCATCCTTCAAGCATTGTCTTTGCAGCATCAACCAGTGCAGGGCGAAGATCATTAGAAGCTCGACCAAGCACAGTGTAACCTTCCTTGTCCTCAGCATCGACATTTGCTCCGTGTCTTATGAGGAGCATAGCTACCTGTCAAGTAAAAATAATCACCATGTGCATTATTGTTTGTTACGTAATGTCATAATAATTCTAAAGAAGTGTTGGATCCTTAAGAATGTTCTCTACAACCAATTTTTTTTTCAATAATTGCAGACACCACAATGAATCAACCTTAGTACCAAATGTATTCAAGAGAGCATCAGCAGTGAGCTCTTCAGCTCATATAAATTTGATTTGGGTAGAAACTAACATTAAGGAAATTCAAGGTACACTTAAGCAGAATTTAAGGCTCGGAAATTTAGTAGTGCTTGGTTCGAGAGGCACACATCACTAATTCTACAACAAAGACGTATGTTTATTTACAAGAGCGGTGTTCTGGCCAGTTAGCAGAACCTCAGACCTATCCACGGGGTACCTACTACCTCCCATCAGCACATATACCGGGTAACTCCGCCCGCTAAGGTTTAGGCAAATGAAAGAAATCACATTTTTTTTCTCGGATTTGAACCATGGTCTTGCAGGGATCTTCAACGTCATTGATCGCTAGGTCATACCCTTCGATATACACTGGATGTATTTCTAGTGAGCTTTTCAGAAGAATGCATCATAGGTGAGTAAACCCAGAGTTTCATACCAAATTTCTGAGGGAAACAACTTTGTTCAAATGTAAGTTGGTTTCAACGGTTTGACCTAACAAACAAAGGGGAGAAAAGATCGAACTGTTATTTCTTTCCCAAATGGGGTAGTGGGTAGGAGTAGTAGAATAACGAGAAAGGAGTTGCAAAAGAAGAAGGGTCATTCCTCAAACCAAATAAAAAAGGTGTAATAACTTTAGAAAGAAAGGGCAGCATGAGATATCTGATACTTGACATGCTTAAGTATATAGTATTAAGAAGAAAAAAAGATATATGCACTGTTCACTTGTCAGATATTTATGACCCTTTTGCTATATAGCTCATGAACAAGATTAAAGATTTAAGCACCGATAACATTTTCATCCAAGTTGATGGAAATAACTTCTGCAGATACCTCTTTATTGCCGCATACAACAGCAGTCATCAAGGGCGTTTCGCCTGCCTTGTCAACTTCATCAATTTCAGCGCCTTCCTCAATTAATAGTTCACACAGCTCAGAGTTCCCAGTGCTAGCTGCACGATGCAATGGGGTGCATCCTACCTATATCACATGATAATAAAATCACCAGCAAGAAGTTACAAACACCCTAATTTTCAAAAATAATTGAAACCATAATAAGCTTTCAAGAAGATGAGCAGTCCCAAGCATAAGATTACAAGCCTTATCTTTCGCATTGATCTTAGCACCATGTGAAATCAAAAGTTCAGCTATTTTCACTCGACCCTTGCTAGCAGCATAGTGAAGAGCAGTGCGGCCACCATCATTTTTCAGATTAACATCAGCACCTATTTACAAATATATTCACATTTACTATCACAAATACATGGCTCAACCACTAAAAGTTGATTCACTGAAACGGTCTAAACAATGCTGACAAAAGCAGGTACACTTTCAAAAGTCACCCTCCACAGCACAGAATCCTCACAGGATACACGGGATTAAAGGTTACAAATAACATATTGCTGACATAAGGATAACCTTGTTTCATCTTAGAAAACTGCCCCTGCAACAAATTTCGTGAGAACTGGGAATCCTACCTTGATGTTGGAGAAATAGTGAAATACAAGAATTGGTAGATGGATTAGCACAAAAAATTTCAATGCAATTTCTGCTGTGATTCATTTGATTTTATTAGATGGCTGACCCAAGTGATTTGATATCAGGTAGGAAAAATGCAAAAGTTTTGTATATAAGTTAACACTCAACAAGTTCAATCATTCTCTCTTTTTAAATAACATCCATCTGCTTTCAGGTTTAGCACATCCATTCAGTTTCTTCTACTCCTTAATATCCATGATATAACTGACATACTGCCCATGAATTAACAAAAATAAGCTCCAAAAAAACTGAAAGTCCTATAGAATTCCATTCTATTATATGCATAGAAATCTTTCTGATCTTATATTTTAGTTTTTTAATTTTTCCAGTTTTGTAAAGATATATCCTTTATAAGACATAGATAAGGTGTTAACTTTCATACAACACAGCAAATTGTTATTCTGCTCCGGTGTTAACTTTCATACAACACAGCAAATTGTTATACTGCTCACCTCTGCTGAGCAGAATCTCCACAATTTCCACATTACCACTGCTTGCTGCAGAGTGCAATGGCACCCAACCTTCTTCATCACCACTATTTATACCACTCGCTGAGGGATCAGCAGCCCCAAGAATCTTCACCACCTAATATACATCACCAAAAATTACCCAAATTTCACAAACATATTACTTCAACCCCTAGCTTCAAAACTGTAAACACCACATTTAGGGATTACATAATAATTATACTCTGTCTGTCCAAATTTGTCCCGGAGAATCAAATAAACATAATATTTTTTGCTATGATGATTCAAATGTTGGGTAGATATTTTAACTTTTAAAAAAAAGTGATTTACATTATTCCCCCTTTTACCCAAATATTTTGACACTTCCCCTTATTATAGGAAGTCAATTAGAGTAACTTCCAGAACTCAATATGACAAGACTATTTTTTTCTTAAATTAAAACTCAGATATTTGTAAACTACAATAAAGTATAAGAAGTTACAATTCCCTGTATCAAAGTGGTAATATGACACATTTTAAACCCAACTGATTAGTTGACGTCCGCACAGACTAGCTGTACAACATTGTTATTTTTTTTTTTTTAAAAAGGATACATTTCATAATATGGGTTAAAATTCACTTAATTTGAATCTTGGAAAGATAAAATTATCAAACTCTATCTGTCCAATTTTATGTGGCACATTTTCCCTTTTAGATTGGGATGTCACTCGGGCCATCGTCATCATAAGGTCTACTGAAATAGATTTCGCGGAGACCAGCTATATCCGATCTTGGTTGGCCTTTCACTACTAGCCACAAGTCATCCCCGTATTTTGCCACATATGTGGGTTCGGTCCTCCAAGACCTGTTAGAACTCTCTTCAACCTGCTCATGGCTAGATTGATCGGTTTCGGGTCAAATAGGAAGAACTAGAAGATTCGACCTTTGGAAAGTGCCTACACCTAATGGCTTTAGCTGCTGTTCCCATTTCAGCGTATGCGCCTTTATTTAGATTCTTTCTACTTTTGAATTACCAATGGAGAATCTTTCTAAAAAGATCTCTCTCTGGCAAAACGCAATTCGTCGAGTTCAATTCAAGGTGGACCTTGCTTTTTTTTTTTTCAGGTGAAAAAATTTAACTTTAAACCTCTCATTGTGCCTTTAATGTCTACAATTATTTTATATAAGAATCAAAAGTCTTTCTTTTTTAAAATTCGTGTCCAGTGACACTGCTACATAAATTGGGACGGAATGAGAGTTAATATTAGTGTAAGAGAGAAAAAACCTGGGCGTGGGCAGAAGAGACGGCAACGTGAAGGAGAGAACGGGCATCTTCATTACGGAGAGAGAGGGCTTTAAGGAGCTGTTCTTCGGTAAGTGATTCGAAGAGCGATGAGTCGCCAGATTCAGCTGCTTTGAACAAGTCTTTTTCCTTTATTTGAGCTGAGGGTTTATCGAAATCCATTTTCGCCGGAATCTGTACGGACAGTCGAATGTTAGTAGAGCTTTAGCTGGCGACGGTGGGGTTTGAGACTGACGAATTTGCCGATGTGTAGTTTTGAGATGAAATGGAGGGTAATATTGGAATTATACCCCTAACTTTTTTTTCACCCGTAGAGAAGCCAAGAAGAATTAGGACAAAATATTATTCTTATTTTATACCCCTACATTGATATTTTTATGGAGCATGTTATTAAAGTAAAATGAAAAAATTGAAATTAAGGAGTTTCAAGTAAAAAAATATGTCATTTTTTTTAATAATTTGAAAGAAACGAGTGTAATATAAAATGAAATAGAGTAAGTAATAGAAAATTCTGGTAATTATATAATTATGAAATAAAGCAAATAAATTCAATACTTCTGGACGATGTGATCAATTATAAATTAAGATAGTAATATATTGGACAAAGGATTATATTAGCGTTTGCAGTTTCTGTATGAATATTTTTAATGAAGCTTTTTTTTTTTTTTTTGGAAACGTTCTAAGAACATATTTTTAAAGATGATGTTTTTTTGGTAAGTAAAGATTTTTATTTACCAATATCAATATGTACAAAACAAAGCAAACTGAGCCTAGACCTACCCTAGACTCATAACGTCTCTAACTACTCAGCTTCTATACTTCTATGGATAAAAATTTAATGTTTCAAGCTTCTTTACTAGTCTATTCTTCATCAGCCCTCAACTTATCACCTCTTGAACAATATGTCTAACTAGCACTTGATTCAGTTGCTGTTGTCCTTGAAAGATTCGCATGTTCCTTTCCCTCCATATATGATATAGCACACAAGCCAACGTTACTCTATACAATTGTGCATCTGCACTTCTGCCCTTTGCATTCCTTTCTGTCCATTCAATTTCCTTTTGCCAGTCTAAGGCAGCTCTCGAAATGCCTTGCCATTTCAAAACCTTTTCCCAGACCTCTTTAGATACCACACAACTAAAGAACAAATGATCCATTGTCTCATTTTCTTCATTGCACATAGGACAGCTGAAATCATCAGTTATTCCCCAGTTGTTCAATCTGTCTCTTGTTAGCAGCCGTCTCTGTATTGCCAAGTTTAGCACGGCTATCCATTTTGGAGCTCCTACATTATTGCAAGTTAACCTTCTCCAAGTCACTTTCTGAAATTCTCCTCTCATGGTATTGTATAATTTTTTAACCGATAGGGACTTCCATCCAGCCACTTCATTCATAATGTATCCCATTTCTTCAAAGTACTTCTTAGCCTTGACAATCTTTTGAACTATCCAAGATGCATTCTTAGGATTAGTTTTCCATACTGTTTGTCTCTTTCCATTGTACAAATGTATCCATTGCACCCAAAGCTTGTCCTTCTTTTTGCAGAGATTCCATAATAATTTGCAGATTGCAGCCTTATTCCATGTTGAAATTTCCAGCACATTGCAGCCTCCAGCAGTTTTTGAGATACACACTCTCTCCCATGCTAGAAGAGCCTTTCTTGATGTTTCCCGTCCCCCTGTCCATAAAAAGGTTCTGCACACAACTTCTATCTTCTTTATCAACTTTTTAGGCAGCACAAATATCTGAGACCAATATATTTGAATGGAGAATAGTACAGTTTTGATTAGTTGCAACCTTCCAGTATATGATAGATATCTTGATGTCCAGGAGGTTATTCGACCAAGGATTTATCTACCAATGGTTGGCATTGAGACATTGATATCCTCTTGGTGCTTAGTGGTATCCCCAGGTACTTGAAAGGTAACTCCCCTTTGGAAAAGCCCACAGCTTGTAGGATCTCCAGTTGAACTTCATGTGGAACACCTCCAAAGTATATGGAACTCTTAGCAACATTTGCTTTAAGCCCAGATGCTCTAGAGAATTCCTTGAAACATTCATACATCATTTGCACAGGCACAGTATCTCCCCTACAGAACAGTAACAAATCATCTGCAAAGCAAAGTTGAGTGATGCTCAGTTTGTCACATCTGGGGTGGAAATTGAAGTTAGGATCATTCCTCAACTACTTCAGATTCCTAGTTAGATATTCCATACCAAGCACAAACAAATAAGGTGACATTGGGTCACCTTGTCTTAGTCTTTTCCTAGCTTGAAATGGTTCAGTAGGCTTCCCATTTATAAGGATTGAATAGGACACAGTACTTACACACATCATCACCCAGTGTACAAACTTCTCAGGTATATTCAAACTTGTTAAGACTTGTTTAAGAAACTCCCATTCAATTGAGTCATACGCTTTCTGCAAATCTAACTTCATCATGCAACTAGGTGAGATACCCTTCCTTCCATATCCCTTTACTAGCTCATGACTCAGAATTTTAGCAATTACTCTTCCTGGCACAAAACCTGATTGGCTATTATCAATTAAATGGTCCATTACCTCTTGCAATCTGTTAGTCAGAATCTTAGAGATAATTTTGTACAGAACTGTGCAGCAAGATATAGGCCTGAATTCTCTGATGGTTGAGGGATGGTGCACCTTAGGTATTAGAGTGACTGTTGTTACATTGATAGGTCGATACATTTCCCCTGTAGTAAAGAATTGCAAGACTGCCTTTGTGATCTCCTTACCAGTGATATCCCATGTTTTTTTGAAGAACAATGAGTTGAATCCATCACATCCTGGTGCTTTTAAATCATCAATACTCTTCAAAGCATTGTACACTTCCTCTTCTCTAATAGGTTCAATGAGTTTCAACTGTTGCTTTCTATTTAGCATCTTCCCTTCCTTCATAACTCTCGTATGAATGGCTGGTAGGGCCGTTGCTGATGATCCAAGTAGACCTTTGTAAAAATCTACAATCTCCTTTTCAATTGCATCCATAGTTTGAACTATTTCTCCTGTAGCAGTCATCAGACTTCTGATCTTGTTTTGACTAACTCTACTCTTCATGTTGGTAAAGAAGAAAGCAGAATTTGAGTCTCCCAATTTCAACCATTGATTTCTGGATTTTTGTTTTAAAATACTTTCTTCGATATTGACCCATTTCTCCGGTTGTTTCTTCAATTCCTTCTCCTCTTCAAACAGATTTGTTTGCAGATAGTTATTTCTTATTCTCTTTTGCATCTCTTGTAATTGCTTCCTGGCATGTTTCACCTTTGTATCAACTGCTGCAAACTCAATTGTATTCAGTTTCTTTAGCTCTCCTTTTCTTCTTTCAATTTCTTCCATATTCCTGGCATTTGTGCTATTTCCTTTCTTGTCTAGACATTTGTTATTATTTGTAAGAACTCTTTATGATCTGCCAGGTGGTTAAAGAACCTAAAATGTCTAGAATTCTGCGGCTCTTCTCCAAATTTGACACATAGAGGAGAGTGATTTGAGAAATAGGGGTCCATAACCATAGCATCCAAGTGTGTCATCTTTGTTATCCATTCAGAGTTAACTACTGCCTTATCAATTCTGCTAAACACATGAGAATTTGTCCATGTAAAGCTTCTTCCCACTGTTCTCATTTCAATCATCCCTGCCTTCATCATAAACTCTTTGAAGTCTCTAACTTCTCATTCCTATATTGGATTCCCATTACTTCTATCATCATCTGATAATACTGCATTAAAATCACTCATACAGAGCCAAGGTCTTTGTTGATAGTGACTCCAGCTTAGCAAATCAGCGCATAATCTCTTCCTTGCATCTACTGTGTGGAGCCCATATATAGTTGTGAAGGTGAACTCCTGCCTGCTAGCCAATAATATTGCCTCCCCATGAATGTATTGAGGCTTGTAGCTTATTGTAGTATGTGCAACTTCATTTGGATCCCATACAATCCATATCCTACCTTTACCTCCAGATTCATAATTTTTACACCATTTTCACCTAGGAGCTATTTTATTTATAATTTTGCTTGAGTACTTCTCTTGCACCCTATGTTCTACTATAGCAATAATACTAATCTTATTCTCCCGGATGAACCTCTGCATCTCCTTTTGTTTATAGGCTTTATTCAAGCCTCTAACATTCCATGTGACCAACACCATAAAATATTTGGTCTGGCAAAACAAGCTCCTCCATCATTCCACGACTACTCTGCCCTCCTTCCATCCTTCTAGTATTAATGTTTAACTGTTGAACACTTGTTCTGGTAAGTGCAGTAAAGCCATTTCCCATAACCAGTCTCTCTTCAGTAGTAGCAACATGACTCTGTTTAGCCGCAGATTTGCCCCTTACCTCTTGCCACTTCTCCTCTGTATCCTGTGAATGTTGTTGTTTTTGAGTTCCTTCTATTATTTCCTGGTTAGTTTCTGGTTTCTTACTTGCCTCAGTAGCTTGAGATCCTTCATTTCCAGTGATTAGTTTGTTCTGTTCTTTAGGTTTCCTCTCCTGTCTTTGTTTTGTTTGTTTGGGTTCTAGTTGCTGCATTGGTGTCTTGTTTAGGCAGTTATGTCCCAGCTGCAAACATGTGCTACAATACACAGGCTTCCAATCATATGTAATAGCTTGCTCAAGTTTTCTTCCATTAGGATCTTTCATTGTTATCTTCATAGGTAGAGGTCTTGTAATATCCATCTCTACAAGGATTCTAGCGTATGATATCCCCTCCACTTAGGTGGTGCATTCATCAGCATAGATTGGTGTCCCTAATCCACTTCCAATTCGACTCAAGGAATCAGCTCCCCAGCAGTTCAGTGGCAGGTTTGGCAATTTTACCCATAAGGGTAAAGTCTTCAATACTTCCTCCTCAAAATCAAAATCAGGAGCCCATGCCTTAGTAATCACTGGTCTACTATTGATTGTACTTGGCCCTGAGTATAATACTTCATTTCTTTCTTCTATACTACTGAATTTAACAACAAAAAAACCTTCATTATGGCAGTATACCTTTGGTTTTGTTACAAAATTCCATTAAAAAGCAATGAACCTTCCAATACTAGGTGCATCTTCGACTACATACATGATTACTGCCTTCCTCCACTTCTTTGTTTCTTTCTCAACTTCCTCTTGCTGCAATTCAACTATTTTCTCCCCATTTTGTATCATTGGAGGTACATATGTGAGACCCATTCCCCTAGCCGCATAGGTATTCCCTACTACTAGGTTTGCCCAAGATTTGGATCCAGCAGTAGTTTTTGCATCAGTTGCTTTAGCTGCCTCATGCTTTGCACATTGAA